AGCAACGCATGAATGGTTTTTTTAAACACATTTTGTGACAACCTGTTTTTTGCACCAGTTGTGGAGTGTGATCATTGCCGATCGGCGATATCTATAGATGTATTGCATGGGACACAATTATTATAGTGAACACAAAATCATTAGCATGTAAATCGCATTCAACGTAACATCGATTGGTGATCCTTAAATATCAACAAAAGTTCAAATAAAAGGTACTGAGGAACTTGCAAGTGGCATGTTTATTCATCGTCTACTGTTTCCAGGTCAAAGAGGCAGATCAGGTCAAACGGATTAAATCATACACCAATTATACCATCAAAGTCACATTATTATTTCATATTAGTGGTGATTACTGATACTATGTAGTGATTTGTGTTTATTCTGGATGCGACAGGCAAAATCATTCACAATTTATTGTAATTGTTTTGTTATGAAAGATTATCAGCAGACTACCCCAGTCTGTGACACCATAGTGACCATTACACTTACTGAAATTTGCTGTAAATTTTCATGATCTTTATTTTCATTTTCACACGTCATATGAAACGGAAAATGACAAATGAAACATTCCTTGATTAAGTAGATCGTCAGCTTTCGGCAAGACATATATATGGAGGCAATGTAAACTTTGTTGATTTATAATGTAAGTTATGCTGAGGTTGGACAAAGAGCTCCATGTTTGATTTTCGAACGTCTGCTAGCATCACAACGTGGGATTTGTATTTTAGTATATCGTAAATATTCAACGAAAACCCTTGGAATTAGGATCGGTTAATATTTATAAGTCATTTATTATATCCTGCAAATTTGATAACATGACACATTAGATTAACCCTAATGTTCTTATTTCTGCAACTGACATGATGACCTTGAAAATTAAGTCTTTAATCTGTTTAACCTTTGAATAATGAATTTACTGAAACAGTTCATAATTTACCATCTCGCTGATATTTGCCATTAAAAAAGAAATCATATTTATACTCACTTATTGATACTCAAGATATTGGAGACATAATTATTGAAATCAATTTGCACAAATTTTACGATTTAAACAGGTTCCTAACATACAAAACGCTTACCACCTTTAATAACCTAATTCAGTAAGTTCAAGAAAACTTACAAATTTTATGTTTGCTTTGGTCTTATCCTTGGTAACAGCAGGTTATATTTCTATGTAGTAATGTGTAGTTTTCTGTCAGAAATAAATTTGGCAGAGAATGGATATATCATAATTGCCACACTTGGACTTGTTAAAGGTTATACTTGTTGTAGTTTGACTGTCATGTAGCGACATTCGCTATAAAACTGTTCCATACGTAAAATGGAAAGCTGTATGTTTCTCCTTATGATAACATCGTACAGTCATTTCTCGTTAATCCAACACTCGTTAATTCGACAATCGGCTTTATCCGACACTTATGATGGGAACTGATTAAATCAGTGCTATTTAGACCCGTTACTCCGACGGTGTCTAGCCGGGAGCGCCACATTTCAGAAATGGCTATTGCCGGTGGGGCCACATTTCCAGCTGAGTGCATTTCACCTATTCTAGCGGGTAATTAATTAATCCGATTACCGATACCTTTAAATGAGTGTCCCACATTTAAATTACTAAGCGTGGTGTTCTTTAGAGATCAAAGGCCGTCTTAATTGATATTGAGTTCATCCTGTTATTCATAACATATTTAAGTGATGTCGTGTTCACTCCATATCATAACCATGGCAAACGCACAAGTTCAAATAAAGTTCATTGAAAGTGTCAGAGGAGGCGTACATTTATACTATGATGGCTTTAAGTTTCGGTGTAAGAGCAGTCGTGGTGAAAGAAGATACTGGTCCTGTATTGTCAAGGAGTGCACTGCAAGGATCACAACTCTGGGTGAGTTGCTCCACGCCATTGAGATCATGGGTCACTCCAACGACCCACTACCATTCGAGTTTGAGGTTGATGCCTTTAAGGCAAGACTGATGGAGAGAGCGAGGACAGAAACGACTGACTCTCCTGCTGGCCCTAAAGTGACTGCTTTCATGGACTACGTGACAACCAGTTGGGTTCAAGGACAGGCCTTCATCCCAGAGATTTGGAATCACTTCGAAAACCAAGGCCACCGTACCAACAATCACCTGGAAGGGTGGCACAACAAGATAAAGAAACTTGCCAAGAAGTGCCACCCGAACATCTACGAGGTAGTGAAGCTATTTCAGCGAGAGCAGTCACTCAAAGAGGTTGCAGTCCTGAGACTCTCTCACCAGTGGTCAGAACCTTCACGAAGAAAGAAGTACAAGGCAATCGATGCACGTATTGCGTCCCTCAAGATCCAGCTCCTGAACCAACACCTGAGTGAGATGGAATATGCTGACCACGTGGGCGACCTCCTTCATCTGCAGTTATGATCCATTATGATATTCATATGCTATTCATATTCATCAATGTAAAGTTCTGATGAATATATATCCTTGTTGAATAAGAAATGAGAAAACAAGACTTGTTTTGTTATATACGGTAACCTGTTAGAATCACAAAGCATGTTTTGACAGCATAGCCGTGAGAGCCACATTATACAATCACGCAACCATAACCATTGCCGGGAGCGCCACATCAATTTGGGCTATCTATTTTCGAAATGTGGCGTTGCCGGCCTGTAACCACTCCGACAGTCTCACACTCCGACTCTGACACACCTAATTTGCAACAAATTATCGAAATCACTCATTAATCAGTCTCGTTAATCCGAGTGATCAGCGTACGCCGTGGTCATCTGTGCGCAAGTACACAGCCCATGTTTTGATGCGAGACGGCTGGTAGCTGCATATGACAAAGGCTGCAGAGATAAACTTGCTTAACAATAAACAATGCTTTAAATAAAGAAAACAGGATTAATCACAATCTTTGATTACCTCAGTCTCATTAAAATCAGATACAAGTTCTCGCTTTCTCCGAGGACATCCCATTACAGGTCACATATTTTGTTCAAATCATTAGGATTTTTTTATATACTCTACAAAACAACCCAGCAAAAGTGATTTTTGATGTATATTTTGTATACCATATGAATAATCAACAGATCCTAATCAATTGTTCAAAGTGTGCACATATCATTCTCATTGACCCATATGTCACACATGTAGTCTGTCTTACAGACCCTGATACAAATATATATCAAATACAGCCCATGCAAGTCTATAATGTTTGGCAAGTCTAGATCACTGCAGTATCTGAAAATGAAGAGAGTCACTGGGCTCCTTTTTATTATATTTTTATTAAGATAACTGAACAACTGGTTTTTTTATGTACGATATGTTCATTTCAGAGACTAGATTTTAGTCTAGTCACACATGGAACAGTACATTTTCAAGGTGAGGTTCATCTGTGCTCAATATCTTGTATGGCCACCATTAGAGCGCAAGAAATTACTGGCATCATCGTCGCATTGAAGCACTCCCAAATATTGGTCTGGGGAAGAATGTTCACCCACTCTTCCTGCAGTGCTTGTGGTTGTTGCTGACATGCTCCCAGTCTTTGATCCAGTGCAGCCCATAAATGTTCGATTGGGACCTGGCAGGACCTGGATGTTGTTAGCTTGTGATATAGCTGGGAAGGACATGTGGTCGAAGAATCTCATTCGGGTAGCATTTTGCCGTTAAATTCCCTTGAACTTGCACCAAGTTTGTCCTTCCAGTGTAGGAGAAAGCTGCCCACATCATCACACTACCTCCACCACCAAATCTGTCAGTTTCTTGTATGGAGTTTCGGGCATAACGTTCCCGATGACGCCTGTTAACATGACGTCTCCCATCCGCATGGCGAAGCATAAAACGTGACTCATCACTAAACCAAACTTGTCTCCATCGCAGTTGTGGCCATATGCAATGACCTTGACACCAATGATTTCGCAGCTGATGATTTTGGTCTGTCAAAAGGACCCCTCAAACTGGTCGTTAAGCATGAATTTCTTCAGCGTGTAAACGACTCCTCCCTGGTCTGATATCCTTCTAATTCCTGATGTTGCCGTAGTTGTATAGATTGCCATGGTGGTTTTTTTCCTGTTATGACATAGCCGAATGAATCTGTCCTGTGCTCTAGTAGTGATACGTGGTCGACCGGATCTAGGAAGGCCACATGTAGTCCTGTGTGTCAGATAACGGTTCAACAGTCTTGTAAGGGTGCTTGGGGCTACATGAAAAAACCTAGCTACGGCCAAAGATTATTCGCCTGTATGCAGTCAGCCGATGGCGTTGTTGCATTGGGCTTCCATCAGTAGTGGCATGTTTTCACTGTTCGCTTGCTGTATGATTGTGATGGCATGCAAATGATAACCCAAGGTTTTTATAGCCCGGCAAATGAAGTTGCACGTGCATGTCATGTTGCTGTGTTTCAGAACAGGGCTCTCACATGGTTGTGTTTTTTAGATTTTTCAAATTTCTGCAGTACATCATTTTTTCAAACAACTCATTCCAATCCATGAAGGAATGACCAATTCATATTTGGTATTAATTTGATATGGATATCGTCAACACTTTGTCAGATATTTACTATTTGACTACTTTTGGAGGGTATATATTCTGAATTTGGGGAAATACTTCCAAAACTGTTTGGCATTAGATAAATTGTTCTCCCTAGATGGAGTATTAATCTCAGAGTTGAAAATGTGTATAAAGTCAATTTTCCTGTGGTCTTTCTTGCAACAATGTTCTACTTTTATACATTTGTGCTTGCAGAATTAGAAACTTTGTCAAAAGTTAGTTATATTAATAATGTTTGTTAATAATTTTGTGCTCAGTATTTTTTCAGAAAATATTTGAGAAACTTTTGTTCACATTTTCGAATCTTGACTACTGGTAAATATCCAGGAGACCTACAGTGCTGTGGCAATATATATATTTTTTTTATTTTAGTCATTTGCAGATGTGCAGATGTACCTGTATGTATTTCAGTTGAAAAAAATCCATGTTCATATGTGGTGTATATGCTGTCATTCTTACTGATATTTGTCTTCCAGAACCAGAATTCAGACATAATGCTGCGAAGTATATGTGGCCATGTATTACCTGAAGCAATGGTATGCTACCTAGAAAACTATTCTGCTGAGAAGTTTTCTGAGATCTTCCTTGGAGAATTTGACACACCAGAGGCTATCTGGAACAGTGAAATGAGGTCAGTATGGTTTGGGCTGTACATGTTTACAGATGAGGTTATTTCACAGCTTGTACTCCTTTTGCTCTCTTTTTGGGTTGTACAATATGCTGGCCTGAATTACAAATTGCCAAACATAAGTGTTAACTAAGCAGACTGTCATAAGGACCTTGGGATTCCCCAGCTAAAAAGCACCTGAAGAACCAGATTTATCCTCAGAAGTAGGGAACCCAGAATAGTTTTCCACTGAAAAGCAGGTACCAAACACAAGGAAGATGTATAAAATTATTGCATGGTAATTTGTTTACAGAGTAGACGGCCCAAGAGAACATGTCCGTGTGACAAAGTAGCATCCTGCAGACATTTGCCTTAAATAGAAGATTCATTTATGTTGCTGTACTTGCTATAACTGTACTTCTAAAACCACTGCCACTTAAATTACAATAGGCCAAAATTTCAACAAACACTCCAGAAAATGTAGGGGATCATGAAATATAAATCTGTAAAATCTGTAAATCTGGTAAGTTTTGCAAGCCTGAAAGTACTGCGACAACTGTGAGCTGCAAACTCGCATTTGTTTCATGATGCAGTTATTTTGGCAGTCCGACATCCAACAATAGTCGCATAATTCCTGCGAATCTTCAAGCTCTATTACATCATAGCCATAAATCCTGTATTTTGGCTGCAGACACACAATAACTAAATCTTCAGATTTTCAACAGATGTCCTCTTTTCTGTCAACTAAACACAACTAGTTGTCCCCCAAATTGCACATCTAGCTCAGCAAACTGAACATACTAGCAGACAGCTTATCATCCCGGAGTGGGAGGATCATACCCACTGTGTGGACTCTTCACCCAGATGTCTTTACCTGGAAAACCTCCTTTTGGGACACCCAGCATCTGGACCTCTTTGCAAACTGCCTCAACCATCAACTTCCAGTCTACGTCAGTCCGGTTCCAGATCCGAGAGCTCTCCAGATAAATGCACTATCCATGGATTTGACAGGCCTGTTCGCCTACGCATTACCTCCATGGTCTCTCCTAGACAAGGTCATACAGAATTTGGAAGCGACCAATTGCACAGTCATCCTCATTGCTCCAAATTGGCCAAACAGGACATGGTTTCCCAGACTACTGTCGCTCCTGATGGACGAGCCGCTTGCTCTTCCACATCGCAAAGATCTCCTGCATCAACCCAGGTCGAGCCTATTTTACACCAATCTTCCCAGTCTCCATCTAACTGCCTGTAAAGTATCTCGTAAAGTATCTCGCAGAGAATGCAGGCCTCCGGGTTCTCTCAAGCTGCCTATACTGCTGTCACAAGATCATGGAGATCATCATCCACCAAACTTTATGACAACAGATGGAACAAATTTGTCCAGTGGAGACACAGATGTGGTCTAACAAATGTCACAGCTGACATTCCCATGGTTGTTAAGTTCCTTCTACACTTACAACAGGATAATAACTTGGACATGGAACCATTGAGGGATATAAATCTGCCCTCCTTTCCGTTCTCCAGCTCGATGGGTTGTTGATTGGAACTCACTCCGGTGTTCGTATTCCCCGGATCTTCCCAAAATGGAATTTATGAGTTGTCCTGTCTGCTCTACTAGCCGCTCGATAACTTGGACATGGAACCATTGAAGGATATATAGATCTGCCCTCCTTTCCGTTCTCCAGCTCGATGGGTTGTTGATTGGAACTCACTTTGGTGTTCGTATTCCCCGGATCTTTCCAAAATGGAATTTATCAGTCGTCCTGTCTGCTCTACTAGCCGCTCCATACGAACCTTGTGAAAACACTACTCTCCTCCAAAAATTCCGTAAGCAGCATATCGGCAGGCACAAGATACACCTCCTAGTATGGGTTCTAGCTCTGCCCACGAAATCCGAGCTCTGGCAACGTGTATGGCGTCCTGGTCATCTGTTGTCCATCGAACAAGTTGTAACAGGATGCCAATGGGGGTCACACAATACTTTCACAAGTTTTTACATTCAAGAGAAAGGGGGGGGGGGGGGGGGAAAGAGAGAGTGAGAGCGAGGATCTGACAGTAGCAACTACAGAAGGTGAGTACACCTTTTACCTTGATTTACTAGCATACGTAAGGAATTCAAGGGCTACCTATTAGTACAGCTGAAAAACAGATCTACCAGTAGTGACGTCACAATCAGAAGGAATATAGACTGGAAGGGACGTCATAACCGGAAGTGACGTCAATCTCATAATTGGAGATAAATGATGAGTTAGAATAGAACTAAATCATTTTATGATTATCAGCAAATAATGAGGTACTTCAGGTGAAGGTATCTCATATTGACTGATATCATCATAATACCAGTTTTCAAGTCCTCTAAGAGAGATTCTAGAGTAATTACCTCCTTTGGATCCGGTAATATACAAGAACTCTTATGACAGGATTGGATTGCTGTCAACTACACAGGGAGTTACTTGAGGCAGATCCCGCCTTACCCCTCTGGTATATTCTGGCTATAATGTAATAGAGGTAGAGGATTGGCAGGTATTATCAAACAATAGTTATCATTGTTGATAATTCTAAGAATACTACCTCTATTACACCAGAAGTACTCCCACCCACCTCCCCAGCTCATCTGCCTTCAGTGGTTAGATGTTTTTGGAAAGAAGTGACGCTTTTTCCTGCCTTTTTGCACAGGAGAGCTGGTGAGCCAGATGTGCAATTAAGGGAACAACTAGTTGTGTTTTGTTGACAGTGAAGAGGACTTCTGTTGAAAATCTGAAGATTTAGTTATAGTGTGTCTGCAGCCAAAATACAGGATTTATGGCTATGATGTAATGGAGGTAGTATTCTTTGAATTATTAACAAAGATAACTATTGTTTGATATTTCTTGAATTCACTTTCACATTTTGTCAAGCTTGCCCACGTCAAGATTTGCTAATATATTGGCGAGTGAACAATCCCAATTAGCACCCCTTCCGACCCCTTTTCGCATATAATATGCACCGCTTCCTTCCCCTATTCGCATATAATACGCACTCGTGTGATATATGCACCCTTTGTAATTGGCAATTAAATTCTGGAAAAATATATCTGTCGTACATAAACATTTCAGGCTGTCGGCATAAACCACGAAATTTATCTTTCAACTCCGTTTTTTTCACCGAAATAATATTCTAATAAGAGCCCCCTATTTCTAATTTTGAGAGCGCGCTGGGCGCTGATTACGTCGAATACGGTAGTCTAATTCACTAACCTGCCACATCTAATCAAGTTGTTAACGTAACGCCCAGTAATGCAGACATACGCCTGCCACTGTTACTCCCACCTCCCTTGTCAACTACAACAACACATGCATCTAAATGATAAAAGTACATGAACAGAGCAGCAAAAGATAAATGAAATGATATCAATATACGAAAATAGAAATGATATCAATACAATAACAGAAATTCTATGAATACCACAACTTCCAATACGGACCAATAGATATGTGTACCCTACTCACACACGAGTCCCAAAGAGGGACAGGTCAGCTGAAATTGCTAAGGTAGAAGGCAACCTCTTAAACACTTAAACAACAACAACAACAACAGTTGAAAAATCACTGACTGACACTGAGTTACCATTTCATCATGCTACTTCCTGCTTTGATATTTGCCAATCTTAACAGGGCGTCACAAAGCTTTACAGACACAGTTAAGGCTATTGTTAGCCACTTGCAGCAATTTCAAACACAAAACTATCCATATTTACAGTAAATGTTATGATTGATTGTCAAAAGAAAGATCACCTTTGAAAAATGACTGCCTGAGAGCGCTTTCGGAAACCAAAACCTTGTGCCCCAAACGCCTGAAACATTGCATGTTGACCATTTTTCTTATCGAACCATACATCTTAGTATTTCTGTAATCTTCTGTTATTTTTTTTAATATCCCCTACGTTTTTTTTATCAGTATACCTCCGTTTCAAAGGGACCAGTGAAACATTCTTGACCTGCCTGGAGAAATCCTGGATTGTCATGGGACTTGTGGATCTTTATGATTAATCTTTGAATAACTTTGCAGCCAGGGTGTCATTCCACTGAGAACCATAATTAATTTTGGACATCCACCATTGGATGGGTTCCTCTGAAACAGAATTGTTGACTGAAGACCAAGCATCCCTGCCAAATCTGAGAGCAGCTGTGAGGATGGTCTTTATGTAAGACCACATACCTTACATCGTAATGCCTGCTGCTGTATATATTGACAGACAATAAGGTCAGTGAAAGGCCAATGCATACATGTGCTATCTCCTGATATGTCTGGGAGTCTGCTGTTAGCAACCCGTACAACAGTCTTCTGCCGGTTGGCCTGTTTAATTAATTGGTTAATTAATCAATTTGGTGAACAATTTAACAATGTAACAAAAGCTCAGGTTCATAAAGTGTTGAACTTGAAGTGAATAATCAGCTAAGTACTTATCACTTCTCAATTGTACAGTTTCTCATCTTCATGTTTTTAAGCGTGTTTATTCCTGCAAAATGTAATACATTTACACAAGTATAAATATATAAGACCAGCCTAATATACATAATTCTTGCATATCTTCTACCTCTATTACATCTCTGCCATAAAACCTGTATTTGGGCTTCAGTCACGCTAACTAAAATTTTCAGATTTTCAACAGACGTCCTCTTCACTGTCAATCACACACAATTAGTTGTTCACAATATAGCACTATAGCAACCCAAGCTATGACGTGCGTAAGGGCAGGAAACCTCACTTCTTTCCTGTGTGTGCTAGAGTCAACACCTATTGTTACAGTTGTAACAATCTAGCGCTTGGTTTGGTCACATTTAATCTAAGATTGTTTTATGGTTTTCTTAAAATAGATATGTTAAGTCATATTAGGAGCTGCTAATTGTAGTGACGATCGTACTCACGTAAGTATAAAGCTGGTGTGAGGTGTTTGTGAGGTGGTAATGGAGTCTCCCCCTCCTCCTGCTTGTAAGAAGTGTGGACGTTTTATGATCATGGAGATCCTCACAGAAAAGTAT